CGCACAGCGAAGGGGGCAAGAGGTGAGTTCTGGGGCCGGGTGGGTGCGCTGCCCCCGGCCGGTCAGCCTGCAGGAGCCCCTGTCAGCCGTCTGCCCCTCGATGCCAGGGTACAGATGAGAAGCTGAGGCCCGGGAGACGGGAGCCTTGGTCCAAGGTCACGGCTGACAGATAATGGCGTGTCCGTGGGCTCCAGGCACCGAGTAAACACCTGCCCCGGGTTGCCCAGGACTCCCCGCGGCCCCGGGAGGTGTAGGCAGCACAGTCCCATTTCACAGATGAAGACACTAAGGCGTGAGGCGGGAACTCACTTGCCCACGGGGATGCGGCCTGTAAGTGGCGGAGCTGGGATTCGAACCAGAGCCGTGTCCCTGAGCAGCGCCCCGCCGGCTGGCACACTCACCCCGGGTCCCCCTGGGCACCTGGGGTGCCGAGGAGAGGGACGGCCCCCAGCTCCGGGGTGGAGCCATTCTGGGTCGGGGGGCACCGGCTGAGTGAGACGCAGGTGGGAGCCCCGGGGTGTCGGGGGCAGTGGGGCACCTGGCACGGGTGAAGGAGGGGCCTGCGGACCCGTCCTGAGCCCGTCCAGCCACAGCCCGTTCACAGCCCAGAAGCTGAAGGCGGTGCTACATTTTTATTTTTCAATTTTGTAAAAAATGGATACCAGGGAGGAAGGGAGAGGAGAGAGAGAAACGTCCATGAGGAGAGAGGATCATGGACCGGCTGCCTCCTGCACGCCCCCCACTGGGGATCGAGCCCGCAACCCGGGCCTATGCCCTGACCGGAATCGAACCCTGACCTCCTGGTTCATAGGTCAAAGCTCTCTCCATTGAGCCCTGACGGCTGGGCAGGGTTAATGTTTGTAAAAAAAAAAAAGAAAGAAAATAAAAAACACGCAGCAGAGACCACAGGTGGCCACGGCACCTAAAACACTCACCGCCTGGCTCTTCCCAGGAGGACGGGCGAGCCCTGGTTCAGAGGAGCCGCCTACAGGGGCCGGGAGAGGGGGCCCCTCGGGAGGGGTTACCTTGTTTTTATTTTAGACTAAATTATATATACTGTATTACTGGTGATTCTTCGATTAGAATCACGACTTTTAAGAATCCTCACATTGAGTACAAAATACATAAATATACAACGAGTTGCGAAAATATTACGTATTTGTGAGATAAGGAAAAAATGGGATCAGAGGAAATGTACATTGTAACGTCCAACTTGTCTGAGCATTTTCCAGTTGGGGAACTCCTTGGTCGTTTGGGCCATGGCCTCAAAATTCTGTTTAGTCTGTTTATGATTTCCTTTCGAGAAAAGACAAGGAAAGAAAGAACCAGGCGAACAAAAGCTCCTGTCAGAAATCTGGGAACGCCTTGATGATGGACTCGTAGGTGGGCGGGGGCGGCGGGGCGGCGCCC